ATATTCATTGGGAAACAACACTGTGGGGCACTGTCATTTTCCATGCACAAAAGTTCTGAGAAACTATTATAAATTACTTTTCCCATCCTTAATCAATTATCCACTTTTAAACTGATGCACGTATTAAAAAGGTAATAATAATTGATGTAATAAATATATTATTTTATTGCTATTAGTAGATAAATAAAAAAAAATTAACATCTTCAAAATATTTTATATTTTAAAAAAATAAAATTGAACAAGGAAATATAAGTATTAAATTAAATACAATAACAAATATTACTCTCACCGTTTTATTTTATATGTCATTTTTTTTTTATAAATAGTTGGTTCATGATATTTGTCAATTTATAAAATTAATGTATAAATTATTATATTATTTCCTTTTTTATTATGATGAGCTATTATCTTTGAAAATATAAATTTGATTTATATAAAAAAATTAAGTAAATAATTTATATTCGTTAATTAAATTAATTAATTAAAATAAATCAATTCATATTTATTGGTCAAAATTATTTTTTAATAAAAAAAATATGACCTATAAAATCCACGATATATTTAATGCAATATACTTTTTGCGCAGAAAATTTAGTGGCACATTTCTCAACGTCCAAAAATTGGTAAATGAAGGCATGCAATTGTCTCTATCAATAAAACTCTAAATATTTGTGCCCCTGTCAGGCCAATATATTTTTATTATTTTTTATCTTAATTTATATAATAAAAAAATAGAATTTGAAGAACTAACTAATTTTCTTTATTATCTAAAAAAATATTTAAAGTTATTAATTGTTTGTGATTTTCAAGGCATTTTAAAATAATGCATGCTACTTTCTGTTGCAATTTATATGATCAATCAAAATGTTATGATTGCTAAATATTTTAATTTATAATATTTTTATGTAACTTTTAATTTTTGTTTATTCATATTGATACGACACTAATAGCATTTTAAAAGTTTTAGTTATATTTTTTTCTAAAAACAATATTTTTAAAAAAATTGTGCCTCTAATATATTTGTAGCTAAAATATAATAAATGAAGTAGTTAATTTTTTTTAAAAAATTTTTACCTCTAAATAGACAAAGTGAAAAAATTAAAAAAGAAATGGTAAATAAATTAATTAATATTTATGGATTGAAAACTTGAGTTCAAAAAAAATTAAATAAAAATAAAATCGTAAATTTACTTAGCTTCATAATACACGTAAAATTTAAAATAGTGACATATAAATAAAAACGAACTAAGTACAATATCGTTTCAATATAGTATTATAAAATTCCCATATTGCCCCTGCTAGAAAAGCAATATGTTTACGAGGCTAGGAAATAGTTGTAAATTAGAGGACCCATTCATAATATATGTTAAAGGATGAGATATTTTGGACTCATTAAATGTAAATTTATTTAGTCAACACCCCATTTATATAAAAAAACAATTTGTCATTTTGTTGAATTTATTTAATAGAAGGACAAAACTTCAAGAGAAAACAAAAAACGATGTAGTCATTACTTAGTATCGAAATTAGTTTATAATTAATATTTAGTCATTTTAATTATAAATTTGATATGACTAATAAGAATAAAAATAAAATTTTTTATTTAATTTATGTCTTAATCTCTTCTTTTTTAGAGGGTGTGAAATAACTTAAAAATTCAATTAATTTAAAATCGAAAAAACATTAACATTGGTAAAAATATTTTAAGAACTACATATAACATTTATAATTAATGTAAAGAACTTCGAAATAGTAAATACAGTAGATAGAATTATGTAAAAATTATTTTAAGAACAACATATAACATTTGTTTTTTATTTATTTATTTATTTATTAAGTTATTGGTCAATTTGAGACCTTCAAAATATGAGAGAATCTGATCTTTCAGAGTTCCATACCATCTTATCCTCCCAAATATATAAATGAAATACAGGCTCATCAATCCAAGAAAATTAATATTAATTCATCTTAAATATTGAAAAAAAGTTAATAATATTTTATTTTCAAACGAAATATTAGAATGTTCCTTATTTTAATGAGAATTTCTATTCACCATACA